TCAACCTCAAGATTAACATACACAATAATATCCCTGAAAAATCCGGATGTTACACTCATAAAGGTTCAAAATATTTTAAGTTAGTGATGGAGTCAAGAGGTAATTTTATTTTAGAAATCTAATTTCTTTATTAAAAACTTTTTAAAGGCAACAAGAAAATAAGGTATGTCTTTAATTTTTTCTGAATGACAAAACCGATACTTTTATAAACTACATATCCATATATCATATATCATTTACATATATCATACGATCATAACATACTATTCTAATGTGGAGCTCTACAATATCTTTTTTTGAACGATAAGAAATATTATAAAAATAGAAAAACAAGCCCACCGAAAGATGTGCCAAAAAGAAATCATACATAATATAAGAAGAGAACCAAAGCTAAAATGCAATTTAAAAGAAACAAAATTAGTGGCCTCAAACTAGAGCAACACCCAAGTAAAAGGAGTTGCAGGCTAAAAAGCTTTAATAGCAACCTTAGAATTAGCAACCAACTTGGAAACTTTGAAGGATCACACCATTTGACATAATGAAACCAAAATTTTCAAACGCAAATTATATAAACATGTGTTGACTTTCCATATATATATATATATATATATATATATATATATATATATATATATATATATATATGTCACTTTGCATACATAGCTTTTAGAATAGCATGTCATGTGAAACCCCAACTCTTCAACCCCACAAGAGGGAAACCCATGCTAGATCCATAATGTATGTTTCCCTCCTAACCATCCAAAAATCAAAACATTGACTAATCTAAATGTTGATATTCCTTCCAATAGGTTGGTTAAAAAATTCACATATGCCTCCTTTCTTGGTGGAAATCTTGATGAGCCTAAATACATCAAAAAATGTCATTAACCATATTATATCGGTACTTAAATGCCGAGAACTCTATATAATATAGTGTATGCTCTCCAAAAGAGTCTAAGTGTGTGTTACATCAAACTGCGCATATCTCATCAACCGGAAATAATAAAATCATAAGGCGATACTTAAGGATAGTATGATACTTCACTGGTGATATGTCAGTCAAAACCATCTATAGTGATAGTCAGAAGAAAATCCAAGCATGTGGTGCTCTTAGACAATCAAAAAGTATTTTATGTCTAATAGCCATGTCGGACTGTACTTCCATGTCTTGGATATATATATATATATATATATATATATATATATATATATATGTATATATATATATATGTGTGTGTGTGTGTGTGTTATTATTATTCAATAATGTTGTAGAAATCAAGATTAATCGTAGATTAATTGTTTTGGCGTTTTGCAACTGATTACGATTAGGAGTGCTTGACTGCTTGGCGTAAAACGGTCAACATCGGGTTTGGCGCTCTTGGCGTTCGTTTTGCACTCTCGATGGTCAACAAAAGTTAACATTTTTTACCTAAATTATGAAAAAAATTCCAATTTTTTATTTTTTGAACAATAAAGTCTCCATTATTTAATATTTAGCCTAAATTAATGATAATGTTTTTTTAACAGGATTTGACAGATTATCGTTGAAGATTAGATAATCATGACTTTTCGATTCAAAAAATAAAAGTTTGGACTTTTCCATAAACTTGGACAAAATAATGTGACTTTTTTAACAATAACTCTTCAAATATTATACCATGATTTTCATATTTTCATAAGATATTTTCTTATTATACCAAAATTTCAACGAAATACTTATTTTTCTTAAGATATATTAATTTTGAATAATTTTATTAATAAATTATGGTCTCTGATTAATCTCTTAACCTCAGTCGATCGCCGAACTACTGCAGAACAATTTTTACAACCTTGTTATCCAGTTAAAGTAAACTTGAATACATAAAAATCACAAATTTATATATTTATATCAAATACATCAAGTTTTTAGAAATGTTATCTCAACAACTAATAACAAAAACTTAACCGTTTTATGTCCGATTAGAAAAAGCCAAAAATTAAGAAAATAATGTTCCTTGAAAAAAAAAATACACCCGCCATAACATATCATGGGCGCCTTGATTTGCCTTGCCACACTCCACGCCTAACAACTCGCCATGAGTGTTTTTAGGACGTTGAAATCACGTCTTGTTGCCATGACATGCATGGGCAGATCCACTATAGATCCCGGGGTCCTTAAAAAATTTTCATTACTATATTTTTTTAGAAATTTTTTGTTTTATATGTGTATATAAACATAGTATTAATATGTTTAGCGACATAATAACACAAGTTGTAATTGGTTTAGATGGTTAAGGCATTAGTGGGTGTTTCTAAAGGTTGCAAGTTCAAGTCTTCTTTCAAATATTTATTTTCTTTTATTTTTGCAGCTCCTTTTATATAGTTTTATACGGATTATACATATTATCTGATCTTTGAGGTCACTATTTGGAATCTTGGCCCTTACATATGTGTATTTTATTTTGTTTATCAGTTTTTTCAACTTGTTTCTTAAATTTCTAAAATTGTCTCACGTCGGCCATAACATGAAACATAATTCCTATATATATGTTATATAAGCAACACAACCTTCTAAATTCTCAACAAGTTAAACTTTCGAATGGGTTTGGGTTTAAACCTAAAACCGAGTTTGGAAAACCAAAAAACCGAACCCATCAGTTTGGAATGACCCTGGCTCCACCACTGATGACATGATTTTTAAAATCTCTTTATACATCATAACTGAAACACCCCTCATGTGGGCTCTTTTTAAATAACTTAGTGAGTAATAAGCGCTAAATATGTGCATAGAAACAAGAGTCTAACATCATTATGTTAACTACCAAAGTAACTATGGCCAACAAGACAAAATAACAACCCATTAAGGCATCTTAATATAATATTCGTAATGTAAATGTATGTCCTTCGCGTTCACTTTTAACCTTCATAATAACACTTATCACGGTTAAAATTTTCTAAATTCCAATTGTATCACTTTAAAATTTGAAAGGTAACACTTGTTTTGACACCACTTGTCTTTTAAAAGATTTGAAAGGTACCACTTATTTTGACACCACTTGTCTTGTAAAAGAATTAAAGATGTCACTTACATCTCTAGACACCACTTGTGTCTTTAATAGAGTTAAAGACGACACATACCTCTTTAGACACAACTTGTGTCTTTAAAGGTGTTAAAGATGCCACATACGTATTTAGACACCACTTGTGTCAGTTTAAAGGTTCAAAAACACCACTTGTATCTTTCATAAGTTTATTAACCATCTTTAACTTTCATTAACATACTGGATTACAATACCACTCTATTCATTTCATATCATTTATGCTCAATCCAACATAAACCATATCTATAGTAACCTTTTTTTAGCAACCTACTTATATATATGGAAATTTCCATAGCACCTTTCCACTTTTATAAACAAGTGTATTTTTAGCACTAACTGGTTTACTAACTCAGAATTATTAATTTAATTCCAATCATTAAGGTTTTAACCACCTTTGATCAAGGATAATAATCCATTTTTAAGGCAACACTCGATTAACAAGCAATTTTTTCTTAACTCCATATTTTTGTGAGTTATTTGCCTTAGTTAATGCCAGTTTCTACGTGATTTTGATTTTGATTATGCATTAACGTGGCAGGTTCGATTCCTGCTGTCCTTATTTTCCTTATTTTCTAGTTTTTAATGATAAATGATTCAAAGAACACAGTCAGCACAGACACATCAACAACTCTAGCCTAGTCAGCGCACATGTGGCTTGCCACCTGTACAGGTGACCGGCTTAACCTGTAAAAAGGCAAAACCGAAAAAAATATTGCAAGTTTGCGGCATAAACGAACCAAAATCTTGTAAAAGGGTAAAACCAACATTTTCAGCAAACTTGAGGTTTATTATGACATTATCCCTTACCTTTAAATTTTTATATCTTTTATTTTACATATCCTTTAGGCACAAAATTTTAAATGCATGTTTATATAACATTTACAGCCATTCCAGAATTTCCATAATTACTTTTTGACATTCCGAGCACCCACTTCACTTATTTATTCTGTTTAGGCATTATACTTTGGTAATATTGTCAAAATGGAAAATATACCACAATTATACCTCAACTCTATACCCAATCATGCTATTCTTTTAATTTTATTATTTCACACTACAAAGTCCATAGTTTCTATATTGCCTATTTAGGCATTGCACGTTCAATTAGTTGCCAAAACCACAACACAACTATATAGTCATGATTCTAACCGGTCTGTAGTTATCCCAGAACACCCCAAATACATAATAGACTTTCCCGTTGGGTTTTTATTAGAGGATGCGGTATGTGCCAAAAACGAGAAGCAACCGGGTGATGTGGCACCCTCAACGGCGTCGTGACGGGGGGAACACCGCCCCCCCTACTCGTTTTTGCTCGTTATGTTGCATCTTGTGGTAACGAGGACAAGATAAAACAAGAAAGATGATTGGCTATCTCCTTCATCAACCAATCAAATAATTTTCTCTATTTTCTCTCTCTACCTCTTAACATGATATAACATGTGGAACACCATTTCCCCCTTGGTGTTGGTGTTATGGTGGTGTTATGGATGATGTGGCACCAATTTGGTGTTACATCCAGTTGCCCACACCCAATGCTCTTATCCACTTGTACCTTTTCCTTTTCAAGGTATATCACATGAAAGCATAATCTCCCCACTTGAGATTCTTAGCAAAAAAAGAGTACTTGCCGACTTACAAATACTTACATATGCTTAATGAGTTTAATTTTAGGGTCTTACAATTGCAACGTCGGAAGAATTAAGACTAGCATAATAATACCTTAATTAATGAAATCACAATCCCTTTTAATTTATTTCATAAATAATGTGGAATTAATTTAAATAGTTTCTACGTGTGTGTAGATTTTTGTGGGTAGTGTCTAAATAACTATACAATATTAAGGTATACGCGTAAACCTTAAATTAATTATTTAGTCTATTTATAGATTATAGTGTCTAAATAACTATACAATATGGTTATCTATGTGAGTTTTTAAGAGTGGTTATCAATGCGGGTCTTTATATATGGTTACCTATGTAGGCCTTTGTAAGCGTTTCAGTTAAAAATGTTACATGGTATGTGGTTATTTACTATGCAGTTTATGTGATTACGTGCATACATGTTCCAGAAAACATGATAACAACATCATTTCAAGTCTTGATAACAAAAGGAACGGAACAACAAACCATTTGTTTTGACCTCATAACACAGTCTGCTATGATCTTTTATTTTTGATTGTTCCACCAACTGCAACTGCAACTGCATCTGTTATCCACCTTTTCTTTGCAGACTTTTTTTTCAATAAACAGTCAAACCATAACATGAATTGCAATAAAACCCCATAACTCTAGCCATATAATTTGCCAGATTCCATTACTATGGCCCAAAATAGCATGAAGAACATCTTCTGTTGTAATCACTCTTCCACAACATTAACCAACTCATACTCAACCAGTGAAAGATTGTTATCCTCTTTTACCTTAAAATTAGCTGCTTCTGTCACCTCCACACGTCCCCATTTGTCCACTGCAAGCCTCATTGATCCCTTAAACATGTCAATTTTGGCATTTCGCAGAATTACAGTGTTGTCAGCTTTCATCAAGTCCACTGCAACCATGAGAATCAAATAAATTTCACCAAAATAGATTAATTTATAACTTGGTGAAGTGAAACTTGAAAGTTACCTTGGTTGTTTCTTGCAGTGAAAACTATAGTCCCTGTTTCATCTCCAACCAAGCATTCAGCTATTTGCATTTGGCGAAGCTGTGGGCCATCTGGTCGGCCTTTCTGCAACACCAGCTTGGAGCTAACAACTTTGACAGTCAGATTGTGGCCACTGGTTCCAGGTCGCAGTTGATCCACCTTTGTGAAAACAGGTTTCCTCATACCTGACTTTGTTTCAGCCATTATCTACACTTATTCAAAACAACAATTGGTGTCAATGTCAAGGAGATAAGATAGACATCCACTCAACATTTGCAGAAATCCGTTGTTTTTAACCTAAGTTTACGACTCTAGTAAAATAAAATTGGGGTTATCAATCACAAAAACATTAAATCCCTAATCTATGATGAAATTTGGGCAGTGTGATTCAATTTGTTGAAGAGTGACCATAAACATGAAAATTAAGAAAACAGAATTCGATATCGCCATCAAAATTTTGAGAACTGATCACAAGTTTGGTTAAATTAGAACGAAATATTTGAAAAGGTATGAATCTGTTCTTCCTTTTTTTTTCCTTGATTGTTTCGTTATAACCGATCAATATAAACCAAGACGTACTTAATAATTACCGAAGAAACAAGATGCATCAGTAAAATTCAAAAATCGATCGATACAATTCATTGGAATTATGCAGATACGAAAAGGGTTGGATTGAATGGAAGGAAGGAAAACTGAAAGAATTAATGAGATGATATGCATAATTACCTTTAACCGATTCCTTGTGCCGAACAGAAATGACGTTTTGCGATAGCAGATGGATCGATCTGTTTCTTTTTCTTATTCGTTTTGTTCGTGCTACCCTGAAAATCGGCTGAAGAATGAGGTTTTGATTTAATAGTGATCGTTGATTTTCCCTAATCTCTCAATTGCATCTTGATCGTCCAAGTTTCTAGTGCCCATGGAAATCGGCTGAAGAACGGTTTCCTCTTCAAATAAAATATAATCCTTTTTCTTTTTTACTTCTTTAAAATATCTTCCCAGCTTTTTTTAATCACTAAAAAGATATCTGACAATTTAGTGGGTGTTTGGATTAGCTTATTAGTTTTGCTTATTAGCTTATTTGTGGTGGGAATAAGCAATAAGCATGGGAAGAGATGCTTATTAAAATTAGCTTATTTAGCTTAATAAGCTAGATTTTATCCAAACACTCAAAGTTAGCTTATTGTGAGAATAAGCAATAAACACCTCTTTTTTTCCTATCCAAACACCCCCTTAATCGATAAGTTCGTGAAAAGCAAATTACTTCATAATTTTGTCACTTTTTAACCTTTATAATCGTAGTTTATCAACTTACTGTTATATTTAGGTAATAATAGAAAGATAAACTTTTATAAACATTTACACATACAAAGATTAAGGATGAATTTAATAGTCATAACTAGTTGTAGTTTATTTTTTTACTAGTTTATAACCCGTGAAATAACGATTATAAAATTAATTAAACTTTCAGTAAAAATTTAAAATTATTAATCAGCTATTTTAAATAAATTATTAATTAAAAGATATTTTTTAGTTATATAAATCTATAATCATTGATTTAAATAAATATATGAAATTTAATGTTAATAATTTAATGTAATTAAAATGAAATCCATAAAATTTGAAATTAATAATCAATAGGTTGACAAATGACATGACATTAATTAGGATGTCTAATAGGTTGACACATGACAAAAAAAAAATAAACCTATTTTTTTATTAAAAATAGAGAGATTTTTTAAGTTTTTATGTTTGTGGGTAAAAAAAATAGTTTATAAGCTAACTTTTTAAAAAGTTACTTATACTAGGTTTTTAAGTAGTTTTTTATGATTCTTTCAAAAATACCTAATTAGTTATATAAAATTAAATACTTTTTTATGTCATTTTATATTTTTCAACTAATTTTATCAAACATTATCTTTAAATCATTTTTTATCATCTAGCTTTTAAGGTATCAACTAGTGCACTAACCAATTGGTCTATGAACATAAATGTTCATTGTTTGTCTTTTTATAAGTCTCTTTTTTCTAAAGTAGCTATGATAAATTATAACCATCGTCGCAGAAACTATTTAAATTGCCAACGTCATGGTTTAAAAAATCAGGTAAGACGCCTTGAGACGATGTAATGGAAAAACGTACTTGAGGCCGCGCCTCATACGGTCTAGGTGAGGTGTGCGTCTCAGCCGAACAAGATGGAGCCTCGAGGCGTGAAGTGGGAGGAAGTGTATTTGTTATAAAACAATTAAAAAGAAGAGAAATGTAATATTTTTTGCAGACTTTTTTTACCTTTTTACCTATATAAAAAAAGTATTCTTTTTTTTTCTAAACAACATAATTGACTATCATACATGATTATTGATACTTGCTTTGTTAATATATTTTTAATACTTGGTTGCTATTTGGTTTAAATTTGTTTTCTAGTTGATTACGACTTAATTTTATTATATTTTTATTAGCTATATAATACTAAAAAAAATTCTTTTATACTACCTCAGTTCTCCTTGAGGCGAAGGAAAAAAGCCTCTGACGCACGATTCCGTACTTTTAAACCGTGGCCAACATGCCTTTTGAGTTTGGCACGTTAGAAAAAACATATTCTAAACTACTTCTCCTCCCAAAAGATACTTTAATACCGTGAAAGTTTTGAACTTGTTCATGAGTTTCAAGACCAGATTGATAAAGTTTCAAATTTGGATTGATGAGTTTTGAACTTGTTCTTCAATTGATGTTTTACACATTTTATGTTCAACAATTGTCTGATTCCATAAAAACAAGAGATCCAAATTCATTTCCATTCAGTTGTGTCCATAACTACACCTTACTATATTACAAGGTGATAAAAACAACAGCAGCTAGCTAGCTTTTTTTAGGAGATCAACTCAACTTATTCCCAGAACCCATTAAGACTTAAGAGGCCAATACAGAACAGATCATTTGTACTGGCTTGCCAGCTCACCCTCCTTCACAATGTAATGTTGGGCTGGAAACTCTTCTCCCTTGAAATAATTCTCCAGCATATCCTTCACTCCAGCCGCATATCGCAACTGCAAACATATTATAAATCACTTCATAATTCTATATATCATATCAATTATTTGTAAACACAAATTGAATGAGAAGAACATACCTGTGCATCAATGGTGGTTCCAGAAATGTGAGGTGTCATTGCTTGATTTGGCATGTATCTCCATGGATGATCCTTTGGAGCTGGTTGAGGATACCAAACATCTCCACTATACCCTAAAACACACCAAAAATAAATCATCGGTTGAGGGTCATATGAATTCATGGGACATGAATTCATGTTAAAACCATACCTCCAATGTGTCCACTATTACACCCATCAACAACAGCTTGTGTATCCATAATAGCACCTCGAGCATTGTTAACAATCAAAACCCCCTTCTTCAATTTACCAATCCTTTCTTTATCAAACATTCCTCTGAAACATACACATCAATACTCCAAATCAGTATAAAAAAACATCTCAACTTTGACAAAAGAAATACTATTACTCACTTTGTTTTCTCTGTTAAAGGGGTATTGATGACAATAATGTCACATTTAGGAAGCATCTTATCAAGATCTGCCTCAAATGTTGCACCAATTTGATTCTCCAATTCCGAATCCATCTGAATCCGATCATGGTAAAGAAGATTACACCCAAAAGGCTTCAATCGTTGAAGTAAAAGCCTTCCAATTCGCCCACAACCAACTGTTCCTACTGTTTTTCCTTCAAGATCATAAGCTCTGTGAGCAATACCTGCAACATTCCAATCACCAGAAATAACCTGATGGTGTCCAGGTAAGAAATTACGAACAAGAATAAGGATCCTCATAAGTTCATCTTCTGCAACAGAAACAGTATTGCTTCCAGTAACTTCTGCAACAGTTAATCCAGCAGCAGCAGCAGCCTTGAGATCAACATGATCGGATCCGATTCCAGCTGTAAGCAATAGTTGTAAATTCTTTGCCTTTTTTATCCTTTCAGCAGTCACATAGGCTGGATGGAATGGGGTGGTAATGAGGACATGTAAATCGGGGATATGTTTTTCAAGTTCTGTAATGAGAAATGAGAATAAGAAGTGAGTGTATATGCGTATATACTTGTGAGAAATTTAAAATGGAGTCAAGTTAGGAGCTTACCACAATCTGGTCCTTCTTTGTCATCAGTGACTATGTACTCATGGCCTTGTGATTCCAACCAGTTGCGAATGCCCAAAGCATTTTCTGCACAACCCACGAAATTGGGATTCATCTCAGCATACTCATGTGCCTTGTAGAAAACACCTACAATCTTCTTTTTACCAGAAGAAGCCTGCAGAAGCAATTGGAGCAATTTTAAGTTTGCAGGTTTCAACACCTTCTAAAACTCAATTGTAAGTTTGCAAGTTTGCAGGTTTCTACAAACATTTTGCCTATTTGCAATACCTATTATGGTTTATTTATTTAGGCAAAAGAGGATAATCTCATTGACGCTTCAACAAAGTTGAAGAGTAAGTACATACTTGAAGGAAGATCTGTACACAGATGTCTGCTCTAGTGAGAAGGGATCTTAATTGCTAGTATATTGAAATGGTTACGATAATAACTTGAAGAAATTACTCATAACAAGCAGTACATACATGTTATGGAGTCCAATATGGCCATCAAATGTTCCAAAAAGTACAAAACCACACTAACTTAAACTGGAAAATAGCTCACGTTTTTATGCGACGCGGAAGTGTGATCCCTAATATTCCAGATAACACTATGATGGAGACGATGTTTTGATTGTAGGTGAACTACAGTAAAAAAAAAATTAAGTGATCTCCGTGTACAGATCACGAGTGACCGAATCACGTTATCGCCAAGAACCACATGCGTACAGTTAAAAAGACAAAGTAGAAGCACCAAAAGCACAAAGGCACAGTTGAAAAGTTGTAGTTATCATCCAAATCCTAAACAGTGGCAGCGAGTTTCTGACCACAGATCAGGAAAAGGGACATTCAAGAACAGAGTAGTTGAGCAGCGATTGTCACTCGATGACTCGAATAGACTAGTATAAGGCTAGATTAACAAATTAAATTGGCAAACCGAATAGGAACAGGAATCGAGTATAGCAAGGGCTTGGGTGGATAAAATAGAATCGCTTACATGAAGGTGTCTGGGGAGAATCGAACCGGAATTAGCAGAGGAAATAGCACGAGTAGCAGCAGCAGCAGCACGCTTCATCGCGATCGCCATCATCATCGCCGTCGCAACGCTGGTGCTCTTTGGAAATTTGGATAAAGGCAAACTCAAGAAGACAGTCGAACGTGGAAATGTTGGACTGCCAAGTCTGTTACAAAATCGTAGACGTCTCTGACAACCCCCCTTAAATAATCGGTGCATGACAACCACGTGTTCGAAAAGGTTGGTGACATTAATTGTAATCTCGATATTATAATTTACTAGGAAGATGCACAATTTTGAAAATGAAATAAGAGTCGTTACAGGAGAATATAAATGAAGTATAGAATGTTACAAGAAAATGAGAAAATAAATATATATTTTTTATATTCATCAACCTATTCATATAAAATAATAACATTTGAAATTTATTAATTTTTTTCTTAATTTTCTTTTTTAATTTTGATATTTGTCAAAAAAAAAATACTTGATTTCTCATATATATATATATATATATATATATATATATAATATATATATAATATATATATATATATATATATATTAAAGTTATGAAAAGTTTTAACAGTAAAGTGACACCTTTTTTGTCAATGTTGTAAGTTGGAGGACCAAAATTGACCATTCATCTTTATGCTTTTGTTCACAAACAACCATTTTACTTTGGTTTGAATTTTTCATAACTCTCGCCTTTTATTACGTATTATTAGTATTTAGTCTTTTGGCAGAAATGGTCCCTCATCATTATTATTATTATTGTTAGACAAAATTACACGATTGGTCCCTGTGGTTTACCAGATTTAACATTCTCTTTTTGGTTTTAAATTAATGTTTTATTTATTAGAAAATACCCACCTAATACCATAAACCCACCCGCCATCACCACCACCACCACCACCGCCAAAATTACATAAATGGTCCATGTGGTTTACCCATGGTGACAAATTCAGTCCCTACTACCTGAAAAGACAAAATTACCCTCACATTAATGGACAAAAAGCAACCAACATGCTACTTTACTTTACAAAGTAATATCTTCTGACCCCGGCAACGCCGGGGAATCTTTTCTAGTTATAATTATGTTTCATTGTATCTATTTTTTATAATAACTTTTTATATAACTATTATAAACAATATAATATTTGTTTTTGAATATTTATATATAATTTGTTTAAGGGAAATCTCCAGAAAAGTCCTAAAATTTTATCCTAATTTACGAAAAAGTCCCAAACTAAATTTTGTTTACGAAAAAGCATGAATTACCGGTAAAAATGGCGATTTGACCCATTTTTTCCGGTTTACCGGTTTTATTACTTACATGTTTCACTAAAGTCCCATTATTTTACTCTAATTTACGAATAAGTCCCAAAATAAAGTTTACTGATGATTTAACCATTTTCCCTATGTAACATACATTTTACCGGTTTAATTGCTGACCCGGACGCCTAGTCATTAAATGAGATGATGAGATGAATATGTTGAGTTATATAATGCTATGTTTAGCATAAAACTTGATATACTGATGTATTTTATATCTTTTTGGAACATAAAATGCATCTAACGAAGACTACAATAATTACATAAACTAACAACAACTGCGTTATTTTTTATGTTTATAAGAAATATCAAATTGTCTATCTAATCTTATATAACCCAATATATCCATCTCATCAGACATCAACTCATTTTCTGCCCTTTTTTCTTGGAAACACACATTTTATTGGTTTCATTACTGACGTAGATACATAGTCATAAATGAGCCGATGAGATGGGTATCAAATTTTATAGTAAATTAGGCATTATATAACCCATCGTATTCATCTTATCAGCTAATTTTAATGACTAGATGTCTAAATCAGCAATGAAACCCGATAAAATGTATGTTACATGAAGAAAAGGGCCAAATCACCAGTAAATTTTATTTTGGAACTTATTCGCAAATTAGGGTAAAATAATGGGACTTTAGTGAAACATTTAAGTAATAAAACCGGTAAACCGGAAAAAATGGGTCAAATCGTCATTTTTACCGGTAATTCATGCTTTTTCGTAAACAAAATTTAGTTTGGGACTTTTTCGTAAATTAGAATAAAATTTTAGAACTTTTCTGGAGATTTCGCTTTATTTAATAATATGTATTTATTTCGTTAAAGTTTAATGTTATAAAATAACATGTTATTTTTTATTTATTAATTTTACTATGTATCATATTTCAGATAAAATAATATTTTTAAATGATTTATTTTATAAGTCAACCAAACATAACTGTAACATCCCAAAATTTAGAAGTATGATTGAAGGACTTAAGTGTAAATTGAAGAAGGTACTCGACGAGTAAGTATGCTTACTCGTCGAGTCGGAGCGGGTTCTGGTCGCGAGTTAAGTGACCAACTCGCCGAGTCGGTGGCTGGACTCGACGAGTTGGTGCTGAAAAGAGAAAACCCTAATCTTAAGGGTTGCACCCTATTTAAAGGACCATATGTCCTCCCTTCATCCTCCTTATTGCCCTTGAGAGTCAGTAAACCCTAAAATCGTGTGAGCTTCCATTGTTAAAGAGATTTGAGCTTTGGAGGAGGAGTTTTGAGAAGGGAGCTTGAAGATCAAGAGGCTAGCATCAAGGGATTGGTATAGATCCAGAATCTACTTCAGCTTGGGCACATTTTGGAGGTAACAAGCTGTTACCTTGACTCTATTGCATTTATATCTATTCAAGAATGAGATTTGGGGCCATTTTGGCATGTTAAGGATCTATTTCGGGTTAGGGGTCTAGATCTGAGGTTGCTACTTCAGATCTAGACTTGTCTTGGTCCAGAAACTCACAAAGTATCAGCCTTTGGCTTGTTGGTGAAGCATCCTTGTCTTAAACCTTAGCCCTAGATTGATTTGGGCCTATAGATCTTTGTTTCCACGTAAAGTTTGCAACTTTACGTGAGAGTCATGCCCCAAAAGAGTGGATCTACAGTTTGGAGCCCCTGCATGACTCGAAAAGCCTCTGTATGAATAAAGGACTGAAGGGACTCGGCGAGTCTGTTCTTGGACTCGGCGAGTCTGTTGAAGATAGGCATGGACTCGACGAGTTGGAGGAACAACTCGGCGAGTCTGTTGAAGATTGTCGTGGACTCGGCGAGTCTGTTCTTGGACTCGGCGAGTCAGAACGCAAAACCCCAACCTCTTCTGGTTAAGACTCAGATCAGCGAGTTGAGTGGTGACTCAGTGAGTTGGACATGATAGGACTCAGAGATTGTTGAACTCGACGAGTCATGGGGTGACTCGGCGAGTCGAGTCTTGATATGAGAGTTTTCTGAGTTTAGGAACTCGGCGAGTCAGCGGGTTGACTCGGCGATTAGGGTCAACCAGGAAGGTTGACTTTGGCCAGGACTTTGACTTTGACCAGTTTGACCTTTAAGGGTATTATGGTAATTTGGATATTTATGTCAATGGATCATTGATGGCTATAGGTGTTGGAGTTTGGGGCAGTGCTTCAGGATTGTGCTTTCGTGGTTCGGCTCGGCAGTTGCAAAGTGAGTTATCCTCACTATACCCAAGGGTCTAAGGCACCAAGGTCGGCCCTTTGATTTGTTATTTGAGATAGTTACTGCTGTGTTATGTTAGTTGGCATCCTGGTAGATAGGATGGCTATATGATGGTATGCTCTGTTAGATCGGTATTATGGTAGATTGGATGTGGCTATGCTTAGTGACTTGTAGTTGGTCTGACTGTCTGTATGCTGGTAGGAGATTACATGTTATATGTGCACGTGTTGAGCAGTAGTAGAGGGTATTCCATCCCGGTAGGATGATAGGGCCCTAGTATGTTGTCTTGTAGACTGTTATATGATTATTTAATAGGTGCACATGTTTGCTAGTATGTGGGCATTCCAACCCGGTGGTTGAGGGCCAGGAGTATTCCATCCCGGTAGGATGATTGGACTCATAGTAGGTGGGCATTCCAACCTGATGGTTGAGGGCCTGGGGTATTCCATCCCGAGGGATGATTGGACCCATAGTAGCTATTGTATGTATAGTAGGTGGGCATTCCAACCCGATGGTTGAGGGCCAGGAGTATTTCATCCTGGTAGGATGATTGGGCTCATAGTAGGTGGGCATTCCAACCTGATGGTTGAGGGTCTGGGGTATTCCATCTCGAGGGATGATTGGACCCGTAGTAGTTATTGTATGTATAGGTGTGTGGGCATTCCAACCCGATGGTTGTGGGTCGAGAGTATTCCATCCCGAGGATGATTGGACTCGTAGTATGTTGGCATTCCAACCCGACGGTTGAGGGCATGGGGTATTCCAACCTGACGGTTGATTGGACCCATAGTATGTTGTTCATTGTTGTATGTGTATGGTTATGTGTGTACGGGTATTTTGGGGGAACTCACTAAGCTTTCGAGCTTACGGTTTTCAGTTTATTGTTTCAGGTACATCAGGTGATCGTGGCAAGGCAAAGGCGTGATCGTACCGCTCCTCATATTTCATGATTTTGTGATTTGGTTCTGGGGATACTCTGATGTTTAAACTATTTTGAAAACAAGTTGTAATAACTTAATGGTTTTGGAATGGGTTAAAATGTTTTAAATTTGCCTGAATTTTATGGGTGTTACAAGTTGGTATCAGAGCCTTGGTTTGAGTGAATTGGAGGAACATTCGTGTGAATCTAGTCTCAAATCAAGGAAAGATTTTCAAATGGTTTTCAAATGGTTTTCAAAATAAGTAAAGGAGGATGCAGAGGGTACGATCAGTCGGAGCCAGTAAGTAGACCCCAAAATACCATACAAGTTATTTGATTATGTGATATGCTTAGAACAGCATGCTAGTACTAGGCTAGGGATCTTCAGGAATTGCATGATAGAATTGCCTGATTACATGATGCCTGTTAGCCTAGGGTTTTCCTTGTATGAGATTGACATCATTACTGTAGTTACTTGTGTATGCATCACGGCTGTATATAATTAAGATCTTATAGCCTGAGAATGTTTAATTCGGCCTTATGTTCTATTCTTATTTCTTAGGGCTTAGGGTAGGATCGAATATTCGAAAGTTTATGGGGTCCAGCGTTATGTATGGCTAGCATACACTAGTGCTGCAGGGTTGGTGGAAGTTTCATGGATGGGTGGGTTGTAAGAGGCCGGGAGGCCAGTTATGAGATATTTAGCATTCCTCTAGGAGTGAGGATTGAGCATTCGTTATGTTATGTATATTATT